ACGGAGAAGTTGTGTCAGTGAACAAGGATAAAATCAGGAGAGGGCAGTATCCTGAAATGCAAATAAACTATATTCAGTGCTGCTCATAGAGCATGTAACATGAAAGCTAACCACTGGCAACACAGACTTACTGGTGATCTTGCAAATGTCAGATTTAATGGAGTGGCAACAGTAACAGCCTCATTTAAATGAGTTGATAGGCCAATAGTTGAAAAGGCTTCATATTTTGCTAAATAATTTTAAACCAAGAGGGGACAAAGTTGAAAAAGTTGACTCTTGAGGTCAGCTTTTGACATTGAAAATCAAAAACCCTCAGCCAGTTCTCAGGACTGAGCCAATTCAGAGAAGCAGAGTCCAATGATTGAAAGAAAACTTTCATGCCCTCAGTAAATGACACTGAAGATTCACCACAAAAATATTCAGGAAATATTCACTTGACCCTTTCTCAAGCACCTGTAGTCATTTCACCTGTAGCCATAACAGTACCCAGAGGAAAGGACATATATCCATACTCTCAGAATTTTAAACATGGGGTCCGAAATAACATTAATAATATTTGAGTACTAGAAAAGACACCGTGTTTCACAGAATGGAATGGGAGGCTTTGTTTTTGGTCATTTGTTTGTTTGTTTGTTTGTTTTTAGAGACAAAGTCTTGTTTGTTTTCCCAGGCTAGAGTGCAGCCCAGGCTGGAGTGTAATGGCACAATCATAGCTTACTACAGACTCAAATTCCTGGTCTCAGGTGCTCCTCCCACCTCAGCCTCCCAAATTGTTTGGATTACAGGTGTGAGCCACCTCACCAGTCCTGGAGTAGGAGTTTTTGAAAGTCAGATGCTGCATAAAGCTTTGGCTCATGTTCAATCTAAGGTGGATCTAATGGGTTTATATTTATTATCTCTTCCAGAATGTTAAATTGAAATGAACAGTTTCAACAGCTAGCAGAACTCTCACATTGCTTCCAGACCTGTATATTAAGGGGACATTATTGTAAGTAGAACCAAAAAGAGTTCTCTGAAATTCTCCTCTTCTGTCAAGAAAATGAGTAAAACATAACCACATAGTCTAAGGAATAGAATTGGTCACTGACATGACAAAAATCTCTAAATTCCAGGAGGTGGTTGTCCATTTTTGATCCCTATTCAGTTAACCTATCTGGCCTCTGCCCAAACCAGATGGATTATAGGATGAATGCACATCAGCATAAACATAAATCGCACTTCAAGATGCTCTCTAGGATGTGGTACCTTCACTGAGAAAACATGGTTTCTGGCTCTTTGTATGAGGCTTTCGATTTGGTGAATGCTTTTTAATCTACATCCATTGGGAGAGAAAATCAAAATGATTTGCTTTGGTGTGGTAAGAACAAAAGCACTGCTTCACCATTTTATGTCAGGGCTATGTCACTTCTGTTTTCAGTTTAATCGGCATTTTGCAAAACATCATGCTAACTCAATATATTAATAATATTGCATTAATTGTGACCCAAAAGCAGGAGATGGTGAGTTTCTCAAATATGGTAAAATATCATAACATTGAACAGAAGTAAAATACCAGAAGAAGAAAGATGAACAAGAAGATTCAGTGACCTGTAACATAGATGTTGATTTTAGCGGTCCAGTGCTCCTAGTCCACATGCTGAAACACCCTTTTTAAAGTAAACAGCATGTTGCTCTGTATGCATCTATTTCCTGTCACTAAAAATGAGACACAATATTTGTTGGGCCTCCTGGGATTTGGGAGCCAACATATTCCACATTTGAGGATATTGCTCTGATTCACTAATGAAGTTTCCAAAGGCTACTGGTCTTAAGTAGAACTAGAACAAAAAATGACTCTAGCAAACGTAGGCTTTAGTCCAAGCTGCTGTGCTCATTGTGACAGACAATCCAGCAGAATTCAGACCTGCTAGAGGCATGCATGCATAGTGGGCATTATAGGACTTTGTGCATGCTTCTCACAAGCTCACAGGAGAGGGGAGAGCAAGCCCCTAGGGAATTAGTGCAAAACCATTCCCTCTTCAACACAGGAGTGCCCTCTGTCTCAAAAACAAAACAGCAGGTGCAGAAAATTAACCCAAGTATAAAGCGCTTCTAAGCATGTGTATCTCTAAGCACAAGACCCTGTGCAACAGTGGAAATTATATGCTCATAAAGTCAGCCATGATTGGAGGGCATGAGCACATCTGAGTGGCACAAGGAGTGGACTGCATCGGGCACAAACATGTGCTTCCTCAGATTCACTTGACTGTCTCCCATTCCCCTGGTCAGCAGCTTGCCTGACCCACGTCACCCTTCCATTTGACACTTGAATGGATCACCACATTGTGGGCATGAGGTCTTACTTTCATTACCTCCACCAAGGGACTGGATGATGGAAAGCAGAACAACAGAGATGGTAATTCTGCCTCAGGGAAACCCTGGCCAGTGGGAAATAGAAGACAGAAGACAGCTAAGCAGATATGTTCTCCCTCCTCTGTTGCTTCCATGGACTAATGCTGGCTGTGTTTTCCTCTTGCAGCCCTTCTGAAAAAGTCCTGGGAGCCAAGTGCACGCATCTGATGACCGCCATGCTCTCTCTTTCTCACCTCACTGTGAAGTGGTCGTCAGCAGAGTCATATCACACATCACAACACATAGTTTCACATCTTCTCTTGCCTCAATTTCCATATGACCCGGCTTTTGCTGCCATGGACCTCCTTCCAAATAAATGTCATCACTTTAATATCAGACATTTGCTCTAGTTCTAGACCCCCGAGACTAAGATATTCATTCAGTGTTATAATTATTATTCATTCATTTTTCTATGAGTTTATAATATGGTGATTAAAGTGATCATTTAGAAAGGATATTAAAAATATTATCTACAAATATATTTTAGTAAGATAGTTGATAACTAAATTTTTTAAATGAAATGTCATTTTTGTTTATGTAGTAACCAGCTAGAAATACCACAATACAAATATATAGTTTGCAATAGAAAAGATATGTGCACATATGCAAAACTCTTTTATATGCTAAGTAAAAAGTATTGTAATAAATTCCATCTGATTTTATTTTCCACTTTGTCTTTGTGTTACACATCCAATATAGCTGCATCAATGCTATATTATAGTGATATTTCCCCTAGAATTGGGGAATAGCCTAACTTTTGCTCTGAGAAATTCTTCTTCTTGGATAATCCTGTAACTTCAATCTGAAACAAGAACAGAAATATTCATGCAACTGTAGATTTTGTGATGTGTTACATTTTCATTGGTTCACCACCCCAATATAGTTCATGTATTCATTCATTCACCAATTAATTTGTTCCTCAAAGTATCATTTTTGAATAACTATTCTGTGTGCTGTCTTTATGTCTACAGTAAGCAAGATCTATATGATCTCCACTTTTATGGTACTTACATTGTACCAGGGAAGATATATGATAAACAAACAAATCAGATGTGGAGATGATTTATCTTAAGATTTAGATAATTTTGTTAAAATTGCATAACACCAGAAATTAACAGTCACACAGAATTTAGCTGTTGAACTAGGTTATACATTTTCTTCTTATAATAGAACTTGCTATTAGTGAATATGTCAACACACTTTCTCTCATTTCATCATTTACACCAAGATTATAACAAAACGTATCTTTAAGGCATTTCCTATCATCAATATATAGATTTCATAGATGCCGTCGTTTCTATACCCTCTTTAGATTGAGCTTCTTTTTAAAGTAAGGAAAATTTGAGCTTTTTGAGGAATTTTAAGGATGGAAGATAAAGGAGGGAATTGGCAATTCAGGAGCTCAGAGGTGGCTTAGACAAAAAACTAAAATATGTAACATCAGATTTCAACTTCAAAAAAGTTTTTGTTTAATTCAAAAACTGGAAGAGATGACTTTTCTAATTCCATATGGAAACTTATAACAGCACTGAAAAGAGCTCATGATCATGTTTCTTCATCTTTTTTATAGAAAGGATTTTTTGTAAGCTATTAACATACTATATTAAATCTAATATTCCTCAGTATTGCTTTTGATATACATAAAAATGTACACTAGATATATATTTCACCCTTGAATTTTATTTTGTGCTTTGTTATCTAACAATAATTGTATTTGCTTTATACTAAACATAAAATAAGAATTCATCATGAACGCCTATGATCCTAGCACTTTGGGAGGCTGAGGCAGTGGATCACTTGAGGTCAAGAGTTCGAGATCAGCCTGGCCAACATGATGAAACCCCATCTCTACTATTAAAAAAAAAAAAATTAACCATGCATGGTGGCACATGCCTGGAGTCCCAGTCACTCAGAAGACTGAGGCATGAGAATCACTTGAACCCGGGAGGTGAACGTTGCAGTGAGCCAAGATTGCGCCACTGCATTCCAGCCTGGACAACAGAGCAAGACTCTATCTCAAAAAAAAAAAAAAAAAGGAAAGAAAAAAAAAAGAATTCATGATTAAAAAAAAAACAAAAAACAAAAAAACAAAACAAAACAAAAACAAAACAAAAAAAAACCTACCCCAAAGACACAGTCTCGTCATTGATTTAGAATTAAATTTCCTTACCGTCCAAAAAAATTACAGGCTCAAACAATGATAGTTAAACAGTTACATACACTACGGTACATATACATAATACAAATTACAATGAAAAACAGCAATAATTTTCTGATATAAGGTGTCAGTTCTTAATTATAAATAGAGATCATAAATTCCTCAAACGAAATATCATACAATAAAATATATGTGTGAAACACACATGGGTTCATAATTCTGACAAATTTCTTATCCTACTTTTGTATAACTGAACAGTTTATATGAAAAATTGATTAAAGGTATGTTATGGTAAATGTTAAGTTTTCATATACATTCAGACATACACACACATATATATATACTTTTATATAATAAACTTAAGTAAAAGAATTTTCTAATTCTACTTTTGTAAATTACTCAAATACATAGACTATGCAAAAACTTGTAGGAAATATAAAATGTTCCGGACACCATCAATTTGTTTTCTGCTAGAAAACACACAATGAACCTCTGGTGAATCTATGGAGTTGACAGATTCTGTCCTTTGGCCCAGCAAATCACCTGCCACAAAATTGAAAGAAAGTTCTGCTTTAGCTTCTTGTTCCCCCAAATCAGAATGAATGAGTGGAACGATGGATATATGATTCCAACAGCTTGGCAAAGGATTAAGACAAGTTCTTTCTCTTGCTTCTTATAATTCCAAAACGATATGATTAGACATAGAAAGTAAACGGCAAATAATATGAGGAAAGAGGTCACAGTTTGCAGAGCTTTTATGTGGATCTTGGTGCTAGGATCTTGAGATCCTTTGCCATAGAGCTTCATCTTCTTCAGATGTTTACACAGAGAGCAGATTAACAGCAGAAAAGATATCAGGGTCAGAGTGAATGGTATCAAGTTTGCTAGCGTGACTACAATCAAGTTAGAAAGGTACGTTGCGTTCCTCAATTTGATCTTCCAAGTTATGTTTCTTTCATATTCTTTTGTCCACACATTTATGTACATGTTTTCCACCACAAGATCACAAACCAAAAATAACAAAGCCCCCGACACTATCACCAGAACTACACTCTTAACCTTCCTTTTTAAGTGATGAAAAATAAGTCTGGAGAAATTGACGATCTTGAGCAAATAAAATATGCTGAGGCTAGTAGCAAGCCAGATGCTGAAATGGTTGGTTACTGCCCAGGCATTAGAAAGAAAAAATCTTACTTTTAAACTAGATGAATTTGGATTCAACACAGTTGAATACCAGTGTAAGACTATTATCCAGAGCAAACCAACTCTGGAGACTGCCAGAGCAGCAATAATTTGATCAGCTGAGGAGATCTTTTGTCTCTTGACCCAGGCAATGAAATTTATCAGTGCTATAAAGCCATTGGCAAAATTTCCAAGAACAAATGCAACCACTACTGGAATGGAAAAAACAATGGGTAGAAAACTCATCATGTCTAAACAAAAAAGCAAGTAAAAAGTTCAGGCCTAATGCCACTGGTTGTGACTCCTCTAATATTCAGACTTTAGATTAAATATGCACTTGATTCCTGAATGTTCAATGACATCCTTTATGCTTTTAAATTCTGTGAACAATGTCAACAGGAAAGCACCAGCTTAAACTAATGAATGAGTTCAATGCTGCCTTTATGGAAAATATTGTCAGTCCCAAAACAGCTCAAATTAATTATTATTCATACAGTCTCTGTTCTTGCTATAGGCTGAAATTTTTCCGACTGATGTTGAAGGGAAAGCTGGATTCTCATTTGCTAGCATTCAAATAAAGACATATCTTCTTTCACTGCTTTGCAATTTTTTCCTTGTTTCACATTTCCATAATTTGTGTTCAGCCCTTCAGTTGTTAGGGAAATTTTAATACCCAGTACATAGATGACACAGCAAGTATTTAGATTGTTAAAAGAGCCTGATCATATGTAGGATCATAATCACTATGGATTTATTTTTTAATGCCAGATTTAAATACACAGAATCTAAACTTTTTATCAAAATCACCCAATATTTTATTGGGAACCACAGGAAAGCCAATACTCCTTATACTTTGGTTGCTGTAAACCAATACTTTTGTATGGCATCACTATTAACAAACTCATAAACACACACACACAGACACACACACACTTTCACCCTTCAAGGATGAAAGGAATTGTTTTCTAATAACTTATGAAATGGAAAATGAGTTTCCAGGAGCTCATCCTGGTGGAATTAGTCCTATTTTGCCCATGCCGGATTTTCAGCCAATGAATAATACTCACGAAACGTGTCTCTCATCCTTAGGCTTTTGGTAATGCTACTTGAAAGCTTGTAAACATTCCTGAGTACCAGACTTTTGTCACGTAATTTTGCAGTATCCTCCCACCACAGGTATAGTGAAAACCTTGCACTAGGGCTCTGAGTTTGATCATGTAATTTGCTTTGATGAACAGAAAATTACTACGCCTTACATCGAAATTTGAAATGGTTCCATATTAGGCTTTCTTGCTCTTTTCCATTTATCATGAGAACATGTCCACACTAACATACTGTTTCCAGAATGAAAATGAGTAACTCATGGAGTCACATTGCCCCTGCCTGACCCAGTCTTAAATCGGCCAAACTTTAACTAGATCCAAGAGGCAAAGCTTAAAACCTCTCAAATCACCAGCGCCATCCACCAAACCCCAGCTTAAGAAAACAGAATCCAAAAGCATGTGAGATATAAATATCTAATGTGGTTTTGGAGAAGTTTCTTTTGCAGAAAAAGCTAAGTGATATAGACACTCTGATAAAACAAGAGTGTGAGAAATATGTGCACCCTTGTTGTGTCAGAAATTCAGGAGCCAAAGGAAAAATAGGTTGGAAATATCAAAGTTTTTGTAATATGAGGTGAATATCTAAAACTAGAAGGAAATGTTGGGAAAGATCTGGGGGCTGTAGGTAATAGCATCTCAAATTTCCCCATTTCGCAACTAAAATAAGAATTCACTTTAGCTCTCTTGATTTGTATAAGAATGTACGTAAATGTAGATTTTTCCCCTAAGTATAAAATGAGCAGAGCAATTAATAATTTTTATGTGACATTTATCCTAATTCGTAATTTTTAAAATAAAATTATAATGCACACTTAGAAATGGGCCAAAACAAAAATAGGAAAGAGCAATGTATCATAAACAGTCATGTAACCATTACGCAGGGTAAGACATGGAACACTGCAAACAGACTAGGTCCACTTTCAGGCCACTTTCCAAGCACCTAAACCTTTATTCACATCTCCTGAGACAAGCAATATTTGTAATCTGTGCTGATCATTTCCTTGAATTTCTTTTTGCTTTACCAACTAGGTTTGCAACCCTAAACTCCACAGCTTGGTCTGTCTTGCTTTGAACTGTGTATAGGTGCAGTCCTGTGTGTTCTTGTTCATGGGTTCTTGCACTGGACATCATGTTTCTGAAATTTAGTTACATAGTTGCATGTACATGTGATTCATTTCTTTTCACCTCTCTATATTGTTCCACTGTATGGATTTACTGTAATCATTTATATCATTCAATCATCCTTAGTTAATATATATTTTGGGCAGTGTATTTTTGAGCTATTATGAGTAACTCTACTATGAGTATTATTTCACATATCATTTGAAGCAATTCCTATTACAGGGTCATTAAATGTGGTGTTCAAATTCTCCTCACAGACACAGAAAAGTGCAAACAATAATTTAACTAAATTTGTTCCTGTCAGCTTTACCTCCAGTCTCTTTGTTGCTATTTGCATATATCTTATCAATTATATATTTAACTCAACAAGATGTTATTTTATTCAGTCAACTTTCATTAAGAATTATGCACATATTTATCATTTCTGTTAATTTTTATTCCTTCTTGCAAGTTTAACCTTGTATTTTCAATGTTTTTTACTTTAGCTGAAAAATATCATTTGGATTTCTGTTTATGCAGGTCCTCTATTCTTTTGAAACACATTGAAGACATGATTCCATTGAATTCTACCTTCCATTTTTCTGTTGAAAATCAGTTTTCATTTAGAAAGTTGTTCCCTGATGTAAATGACGAGGTGATGGGTGCTGACGAGTTGATGGGTGCAGCACGCCAACATGGCACAAGTATACATATGTAACAAACCTGTATGTTATGCACATGTACCCTAGAACTTAAAGTATGATAATGATAAAAAATAATAATAATCTATGTTTTCCTCTGGGCACTTTTCAGATTTTCTATTGGTCTTTGATGTCCTGTGTCATTTTATGTTAATTTGTTTTTAGTTATCTTGTCTGAACTTCAATGGTTACTAAAAATATATGGATTAATACATTTTATCACTTTTGGGGAAAACTCCACAACATTGCTTCTACCCTATTTTCTCCCTTTTAATCTTCCAGAAATCCAGAAGTATGTTAGATCCTCTGATTTTAGCATCAATGCCTCTTATTCACTTAGTTTTGCATTCTCTGTCTTGTAGCTCTTTAGGCTTCATTCTTTGTAGTTGTCTTCCAGTTCACTAATTCTCTCTTCTCCTATGTCTAACTGGTTGTTAACTCTTTGTTTATTGGATTCTCAATACTGACTATTTATTTTTTGCTCTTATCATTTTAGTAGCAGAAATAATCTTTTGTTCCCCTTCTATAAATCATTATCTATGGAGAAACAGAACAAAGTACTTTTGTAACCAAGTTTTTTTAAAAAATGGGGTTCTTTGGTTGGTTGGTTTTGTTTGTTTGTTTTTTGTATGCTTGATATGAAAATGGTAACAATTTTCTTCTTTTCCCAAGACTTTGGTCACAAAATAGAATAAAATCTTGGTCTACACATTCTCCCACAAGTTGGAAGAACCTGGAAATTGATGTGATGTGAGTAGCTTATCTGTTGATGAGTTTTCACCACAAACTCTCCCCACAGGGAAATTCAATTAGCTGTGCTGGATTTCAAAATGCCATTCCAATAAATAAGTTATAGCACCTCAACCCTAGATACATCATTCTATTTTACAAATTAAATTTTACTCTTTTTTTTATTAGCAGAAGTAGAGCTCTATGCCTTCAAACTTCTTCATTATCAGGTGAGATATAGAAGATATGAGGGCTTACTTCTATTTGATTTATTTAGTCCTAAAATTCTCACTTTAGATGTGCCAGCAACCTATGTGGGCTGACAACTGGGGGCAGGATGGGAGAATGCCAGGGGATAGATGCACCAAGGACTGGACACCTCCTTGCCTCCTCCCAACCTCCTCAAAACTTCAGCACAACTCTGAAGCAAAGTGTGCTTGTGGGAGAATCCAGAGTTGCCTAAGATTTAATTTCTGCCATCAGGTTTATGGAGCCCCTAGGGAAATTAAGCTGAGTTTTTTAAATATGTGGGAAGTTAAATTTGTTGTACATGTGAGTTTCTGAACTGAGATTAGTATTTGCTTTACCTGTCATCAGGGAGTGTTATATATCAATTATTTAAATATTCATGTAAGATGTAAAAAGGAGTGAAAGTACACATATCAAATTTCCATAAATAAACTTTGCAATATAAACATAATTTATACTATTAATCCTTTGTCAATAAAATGTGGAAAGGTTAAAAAATAAATAAAATAAAATCTTCACTTTAGAAATAAGAGCTTGATCATGAAATGGCTTATTTATCTTTCTAATTAAGGAATTTTATTAACACCACAACTAAATCTTTCTTATAGTGTTCCTAAGATTAGTTTATCTATAAAGATTTGCTTAAGCAATGTATTTTAAACTAAACTATACTTAATTTCTAAATCTAAATGTATTTGGCTCAATTTGAAATTTTCTGTTTACTAATGTAACTTTCCCACAATGACAATATTTTTAAAATTTGTTAGACATTATCCAAATTACGTATGGAAACATTTCAAAAATAAATCATTTAATGAGATAGATGTAGATGATGATTGACGATGATGATAATGTCAGCCAAAAGGGGCTGTACTCTTCTATAAATATGACTTCAATCATGTTTTCTAACTGCTACATTTCAGGGTGATGGACTCATGAACTTGTTTCTTACGTTATTCTCAGCATGAGGCACAGACAAACATCCTCAGACAGTATTTCATTAAGAATAAGTTAAAATCTGCATGTTATGCACATGTACCCTAGAACTTAAAGTATAATAATAATAATAAAATTAAAAAAATAAAAAAATAAAAATAAATAAATAAATTTTAAAAAAGAGAATAAGTTAAAAAAAATGAATTTCCACTGATTTACTGGCTGTTTCTTTTCATTTACCACATACTGAAAATCATGACAAAACTGTCCTACAACAAAGATTCTTCTCCTTTGGGCTGTTTAATTATCACTGCACTTTCACATGAACTTACACAAATCCTCTATACAACTATAGAGCATATAAACTGTATTTTATCTTTTAATAGTATCATTAGTAGGCAAAATTCTCTCAACTGTTTATTTACAATCT